GGGGGGGGGGGGGGGGGGGGGGCAGCTAGGCACTGGCCTCAGGCCGAGTGGAGACCCAACCCCCACCCCAGAGGAAACCAGACCTGCCATCCCTCCGCACACAAAGGCCGCCCTCTGGGACTTGGCATTGACTGAGGCCCCAGAGGCTGTGTCTGGGAAATGTGGCTGCCCCACCCCTCCCAACCTCCCCGGGGGCCAGACCTTGTCCTAGGAGTTGGAGGTAGGAGCGTGGGAGATCCCCAGCTCCCCCACTCCCAGGCCTGGCAGCCAAGAGAGCCCCCAAGCCTCCACAAATTCAAGGCGGGCCCCTGCCTCTCCTGGACCCGTCTGCCCCGGGCCCGGGACAGTGAGACCAAAATGCAACGGAGCCTGGGCACCCAGCCTTCTACCCAGCAGCCTCCAGGACCCCCGGTGCCAGGTGCTCCAGGTCACCCTGTCTCAGACCTTGTTCCCGCCTGTGGGCTCTGGACCCTCATCTCCTGTCCTGTCTCAGCTCAGATGTCGCCCCCTCTGCAGGGCCCCAGAGCTCTAGACCACCCAGGCAGCCAACCAGCCAAGCCCCGTACATCACCCGCCTCTTCGTCCTATCGCAGGGCCTGAAATTCTCTGGCTACTAGCGACTCTCTGGTCACCGTCCCCTGCTCAGGGGCCCAGAGCTCAGTGGTGGCGGGACCACCGCCCAGCTCTTGACTGTGCCCCTGAGCCCGCCGCCCAGAGCGGCCACACCTAGGGGCTGGAGCAGCGGCCACCCAGAACGGTGGGTGTCATGTCTGTGGGTGGCTCCACCGCCAAGCTCACGTGGTGACCCCACACCCGAAGCCAGGGAGGTGGGCAGGGCCACCTGGTGGGTCGGTGGGCCTCCCAGAGAAGGCTGCCTGTGGTTAGACCCCCCGCCCCCAACCAAGCCTGGGAGCACCATGTGGAAGCTGGGTCAAGGGTCAAGGCAGGTGAGGAAAGTTTCTGCTCAGGCCCACCCAGAGGGTCAAGGAGAGCTGACTCTCTCTAGTCCCCACAAGAGGCTCTCCCGGCCGGCCTGCCAGCCCAGCTCTGGCTCACAGTGGGCAGCGCTGGGGAAACCAGGCTCCCTCCCACGGAGGGTCCTGCCGGGAACACAGTGAGGAAACAGGAGTAACACGCCCCTCCCCGTGAGTCACCACGCCGGCAGCTGAGCCCCCGACTTCCCCTGCGGGGCCCAGGGCCAGCCCGGAATCCCTGCAATGCCCACCTGAGGCCACAAGGGCCTGAATGCCAAGTTGCCCTCTGCCCGCCCCAGTGCCCGTCCTGCCCGGACAGCAGCCCCCACCCCGGGCCCCAGATGGGACGCCCCCACCAGGGGCCCTGGGGGCTGCCAGCCAGCCCCCATCCTCGGGCCTCACGTCCTCCGTGACCCAGCACCCATGCTGGCACAAGACTGAGCTCTCGGGATGGACAGAAGGTGGGGGTCGCCTCCCTGGCACCTCCTACCCCAGGCCCTCGGCTCCAGTTGGGGCCTGTGGGCGAGGCCCTATCACCAGCCCGTTTGAAGGCCAGGGAGGTGAGCAGACCCTCTGCCCTTAGAGGAGAGGGCAGAGGCACCGGCCGGGCCGGGGACTGGTCCAAGGCCACACGGCTGTTCAGCCTGTGTCTGCCAGGCCAAGTGATCTTCCCAGTGCACCTGGCAGCCTCAGAACCGGGACGCTAACCAACAAGTGCCACGGTCGTTCAAAGAGAAGCTTCCTCCTCTTTCTCGCCTGACCATGCACTGTGGGGGCTCACTCAGGGCCTGCTCCCTCCCGTGTGACACCACGTTTGTCAGAAGTCACCGTAACTGATGGCTTCCCAGGGTCCTCAGGCTAAGCTCACAAACTCAGGTGAAGAAGGCTCTCGCACTGTGCCCATTTTGCAGATGAGAAGCCTGAGGCCCAGGGAGAGAAACTGCACAGCTAAGAGAAGCAGAGGAAAGAGGCTTTGACCAGGGGCCCCCAAGCTGCTCCTTTAAGCAATAAAGGCCCCTCCCTTCAGGGGTCTGGCAGCTGCCACTCTGCCGCCCCCCCCCACCCCCAGGTGCGCAGCGAGGAGTTGTAAGGGGGCAGGCAGATGCTCTAGAGGGACAGCAGCGAGGGCTCAGCCAGGCACTCTGGGGCAGCTCTGGAGATCCACACACAAGCTCCCTGAGACCCAGCCTCTTTGACATCAACCGGATGTGGCAGGGGCGGGGGGGTGGGGGC